TCTAAAAATACAATATAATTTCCGATCATCTAATTAGCGACCGTTTCTGATTCTAATTTGAATTCTCGAGTGAATTGGAACCTGAACTTGAGAGAGGGTTAATGGTTTCTAAAATACAACATATTTTCTGATCATGTAGTGAGCAAACAAATTCGATCGTTTCTGATTCTCATTTCATTGAAAGTTCTCCAAATTCTCAAATATTACATAGAAAGATCACTACATAAGATTTTGCAAACTTTTAATAAAATCTAGATCTCTTTTATGATTGTATCAAAATATCTTGGTGTGCGCACTTGTCCCTAGGCTTTAATGCCAAGATACAAGTTATTCGAGACCCATTATATAATAAGCTTCTGTATTGATCTAGCGACCTAATAGAGGGTGTAAATTTCCGTCTGGAAAGCGTTAGGAAATTTAAAAGAGAACAAAAACCATCTGAATTTATGAGCCGCCAGTGTTATCAGAGACCTCTTTTTTCCCAAAGAACACTGTTGAAGTTATGTAAGCTAGTCAATCCTTGTAAAAATTTCGATTCTTAAGCAGACCTTGTTAGATGATTAATATGTCTAAGATTGTTAAGAAATTAAAAACAACCTGGAATCAATTGGTGAATGATGTCCTGAAATTACAAACTTTCAGCCATTTTAAACCTTATTATGAAGCAAGTTTTCATGTTTTGCAAAGTTTCTTTAAAATCGTGATTTTTTCAAGATTTTAAAGAAATTATTAGTAACAAAGATCATAATAATTATCTTATTATATATTTTCTATAACTAATAATTCTCTATTTTTTTGTTTCATTACAGGTAAGCATTTTGTCTATATGGCGCCTAATCCTTACAAAAAAACACATATTTTGTGCCTGGCTTCTTCTACATGTATCTCATTTGTTTCATCATTTGTAATATTGTGCTAAAAAAAAGATAAAAATCGCGTTTTTTCTTAGTTTAATAAAGCAACCATAAGTTCCTAAATTCGGTAAGTGTTTCTTAGGAAAAACCCACCTAGACGGGGTGCCCTTAATAAGAAAACAGTTATGTGATCCCTATACTAAAATTTTAATGGAAAAACTTGAACAAAATCAAAGTAAAAGCAAAAGGACTTGCAAATCTATAGAAAAAAGTTAGTTGTCTCAAACTAATATTAACAATACCTTAATCTCTTCAAGATGAGCTTTGAGAGACATCATGACTTCCGATAAATATTGGACAAAATTTTTATTGTTTTAATTTGTAATAAAAGTCCACTTTTATACATTTATTTTTTTAAATTTCTATACACAAATTTCTTTGCTTAATTTCAAAACTTAATGAAATACTTTATACTAAACTTAAACATCTATAGATATTTAAATTTTAAGTAAAACTTTTCCAAAAATATCATAAATTTAAAATTAAATAAATTTTAAGCAATAAAAAAATTTCTAAAACCGAAAAAAATCAAACTAATTATTAAACTAATCAAACTTTAAAATTAGGATTTGAAACATAAAAACCTTGTTTTAAAAACCCCAAAACGAACTCAAAACACTTAAATCACACTCAATTTAAAAGCTAAACTAAACAAGTAAAGAAATCACTCAATAAAGAAAGCTTTCTTTTTTTTGTACTTCTAAAAATAACTTTCACTCACAGCTTGTTACAACAAAGCTAAAGCCACTAAATTAACATAAAACTACACTCACTCTCACTCTCACTCTTAATAGCAACTAAAAACTACAACAATAAATTTTAGCACAAAACAAACAAAAAGAATTAAAACAAAAACCAAAACAAAAGTAACGTAATATGTATAAAAAAACAGTAAGCACACTCATACAACACGACAAACCAACACTCATACGTAAAAACAAATGCTTCCGCATGCTACGGCTGCTGTAATAGTAACGAATGAGAAAAAAAAGTTTCCCACAATGATTTGTAAAGCACAACAGCTCAGCCCCACTATATAGTGGAGAAGAAGAAGCAGTTAAAAAAAAGCTTAAAATTATTACCAGTATGAGCAAACAATTTGCTTGGGGATGTCGTTTGTGTGAGTCTGTGTGTTGGCTCCCTACAAACAGAGAGCGAAAAAGCTTTACACTTAAACTGAGTTAATGATAGTTATTTTAGCCAAAAGCAAAAGCAGTAGCCTGAGTAAAAACTAAAAATATGTTTTTGGTTTTTGATCGTGTCGAGTGAAAGAAAAGAAATGCACAACTTATTATTGTATATATAAGCTGGTTTAAAGCAGAAGTTAGAAGGAATGTAATCATTTAAGTGAGACATATAATGAAATTTTACAATTTATATTTCTCTGTTGGTATGTTACGCAAAGTAATAAGTATACTCGTAGAACCAAGCGATTGATTTGATTAATTTGTGTCACTTACCTACATACTCATATAATAAGATATCTGATATGTGTGGTATTGTATAACTATTGCAATAACTGTTACTGTGCTCAACATATATCCTCTAACCTCATGTCATGGAACGCATTTTAATTTGACAAAATATTGTCTGAATTAGAAAAAAGTTCCTGAAAAACTTAACGTGAGGGCCTACCTTGGCGGTCTAAGTCACGAGGGTCTTTTTCACAACGTGAGCTAGAGAAGACCTTCAGCCCCCTTTTTTCACTTACAAATAACATGTAAATGGTCCGTTTCCACCAAAGAATATGCGGCAATATTTAGTCCTTGTCTGAAGCCTTTCTCGACAATATACACACATCAGCACTGTTGGAATGGCCCCTACACAGAGGGAAAAAGACATATACATGCCTGGTACCAAATTGACACCAAAGAGTTTATAATTTTTCAATAACAGCCGTTGTCAAAGTATATATACTATTGGCAACGTATTGTTTGTCAATAGTGAGCTTACCACGTTTGTTAACATTTAGACAACGGATGTGTATACAATTTAGATTTCGACAACGAATTTTTGCAATGTTGTCAACATTACATAGTGTTGTCGTACGTATGTATATACTTTGACAACGGATGGTATTGGGAAATTATAAACAGTTTGGTGTCAATTTGGTATCAGGCGTGAATATATCTTTTTATATATATTTTCTATATATTTCAACTCATTCTCAACCCTCGTGTCAATCATCTTTGGTCTCTGTTGATTCGGCACCAGCTCCGGAAACTTATCGTAAATTACACCTTGTATCAAGCTACATTGTATTCCCAGCGATTTGATTTTTATTCTGGTGCAAAACAAATTATATGAACTTCGAGTACTGGTCAATTCGCGAGTCAAATAGTTCCGACATGTCATTTTACCTCTCCGATCTTAGTAACTCTATATTCCATTATTACAATAACATCAAAATGACTATGTTTTATCAAGGTAACATGCCTCGGAGTTAGAATAGTGCTTAACGGCTCCCAAATGATGGTCCGTGGACTATTGCGGTTCAGCAGCAACATGGCAGGCAATCCGCTAAAAAAAGAAATTTGCTCTAATTAGAGGAAATTGCTTTTCAACAAAATCATCCAAAATAAAAATTTCTGGAGATTTTCGTTTCATTTCTTGTGGAACCTTAGTGACGAAAAAACTCTGCTTTCGTCCAGACTGTAGAGTTTTGCATGGTCTGGAAGTGAACAAAAGTTTTTTAATTCTATTGACCTGCAAAGGATAAATCGGTTATAAATGCTGGACAATTTCAGATATATTTTAATATAGTAATGCCGTAGTAAATCAGGCTTACAAGTTCGATATCACAAATATTCTTAAATCGCTTAACTTTTTCTTCAAAAAGTGGAATTGTTTGCGAAGTTGGCAGTTGAGAGATGAGTTTCTTTTGTTCGTTATGAGATCTTATAAGGTCCGTAGAATACTGTAGGCTAATATTCCGTTATATTAAGGAAATTCCAGTTTACAAGCAAATATTTTAATGAGAATATGTGAATGTACTGCTCCTCGTAAAGGAAACACAAGACTCGAAAAAGCTCTAACAAAGTAAATAGCAACTAGATGATATAAGAACTAGAAAAGTTAGCAATATCAGCAAATTAAAGATTCTGTTAACATAAAGGCAAACTATCAGGAACAAAGTCTGGACGGGCGAAATATTACTCAAGAAAGGCGAACGGTATTGATTCGCATTTCTAGTCCTATTGAAGAAAAGTTCAAGGAAAAGAAAGGTCAGATCTTTCACAATTGTCTCTCAATCAAATGGTTCAAATCAGAGAAGAACCAGAAAGATAGTGGGCCAAAGCTTTAAGCAAAATTATATATCATCAAACTGCTCTTACCAGATTGAGGTTCTATACAAAACTCAGAAATTCTCTAGAAAAGCTTTTTACTAGCTTTACTTATATCGCATGATTTAACTCCTTTAAGCCCCGCTCTTTTTACTATACAAACTAAAAGCGGGAGAAATAAAAACACAAAAACCGAAAAGAAAGAAGACCTGACTGATAAAATTATAAAAACGATATTGGTGAGTGTATTTTTGTTTTCAGACAATTTGAGTGTGTGTCACTCAAGTCAGCAGCGGTATTAATAAAGCGTTTGGTTTTTGGTGTGCGTTTTTTTTTTTTTTTTTGTACTAGTTGTTGTTATTGTCTTTCTTTCTTTGGGGTTTTGTTGTGCTTTTGTTTTGTTTTTAAGTTGGGTTTTCAAAACGTATACCCTCTGCACACTATAGTGGGCTAAATGGCTGTGGCTGGTTGACGGGATGGTTGGTTGTTTGCTTGTTTGGCTGTCTAACTGAATGAAGAGCATTAAGCGTTTTTAGTCAACATATGGACACTCACTCTTAAAGCGTTTAGCAACGTTACCGGTGTTATTAACGGACTTGGATTTTTTTAAACCCGCTTAAACAAAAAAATAATAACGATATCGTGGTTTCAAATTTTTTTTAAAAAAGCAAGAAACGTTATGGCAAAAAAATAATCAAAAGAAAAGTTTTAATATTGAAATAAGTTAAAGAAAAACGTGTGATTAAAAAAGTTTTTTTAAAAAAGAAATTTTGATAAAAATTTTAAATTTTATAAAAGAAGTGATATATTGTTTTTTAAGAATTATATTCAAATAGATAAAAAAATAATGATCTCATTTAACATTAGAAATATTTTAAACAATCTGTAGCAAAATTTTATATAGAAAAAAATACATTAATCACGAAGCATTTGACAAAAATAAAAGTGTTTAGAATTCTAAGAGAATCGTTAAGAAATATACTAAATAAAATTAAAATTCAAAACTTGCTTGAGAGTCGTGTAGAAAAGTAGACACCTTTAAATAAAACCCGAATAAATGTTCTACTTAAATTGATTTTTTAAATATTGTTTCAACAAAAAAAATTTTTAACAAAACCAAGGTTAAACTTTTGCATAAAAGTTTTAAAAAATCTGTGCATATAATTAAACTTGAACCAGAAATTTAGAAATTTTTTTAAACAAAAAGAGTTCAACAAATAAGTTCTTAAAAAGTGTTAAAGTTCGTTAAAGCTTAAAGCTTGTTAACAAAAAATTAACTTACAATTGAGACAAACAAAAAAAGTAATAAGAATCTGTAATTGAACGTGTCTTTTATTTATGAATGAATTTTCCATGTTGCAGTATACGAAATTTATTTCCGTGTAATTTAGTTTTTTTCTGGTTTAAATTAAATGAATGAATGTGCGTGATTTATCAATGAGAATGGATTATCAATTGCCACCGCAAACTTTACAGTTGGCCAGCAATGCAGTGGTGGGCAGCTTAATGAACAGCAGCAATAATGCGCTAACACAACAGCAGCTTAATCAACAACAAAATGCTCAATTACAGCTGCTGCAACTTAATCATCATCAGCAACAACAACAGCAGCAGCAACAACAACAACAGCAACTTGTGAATAATCAACAGCAACAACAGTTGCTAAATCATATGACTGCTGGGCAACAAACCTTGCCCTCTTTAAGTAGTCTACCCCTGCAAGTTGTTAATCAATTGCCACATTTATTGGCCAATAATGCTGTAACACTAAACAGCAGCAGCAATAATAACAACAACAACAATAATGCAAATATTAATAATTTAAATATACTCAATAATAATTTAAACAACACATCCTCCGCACTCAACAATAACAACAACAACAACTCAAACAACAATAATAATTCAGCGCTTAATACAAATCTCAACTCCAATACCCCCAACAACAACAACAATAATAGTACGAGCAATAATGTTTTACTACGTAATACCATGCAACATGTGGCAAATGCCAATCAACAATTGCAACAAACAATTAATAATTTAAGTAATAATTTGGTTTCCTCTCTACCACCCAGTAGTCAATTGTTGCAACATCATTTACAACATTTAGCCAATGTACAACTCAACAACAACAACAGCAATAATAACAGCAACAGTTCTTCCCCCAGCAATAATAATACTGCCAACAACAATAACAATAATCTTTTGCTGAATAACAACAACAACAATCCCTCCACACCAAATAATAATCTTGCCACACATTTAAGTGACAATGTAGTGGCTCACAATATTGTCAATGGTCTGGTGGGTGTCTTAAATAATGTCAACAACAATGTTGGCAACAACAACAGCAACAATGGCAGCAATAATACGAATTTAACTAATAATGCTTTAAATAATACGGTGAATCAAAATTCTGCGGCAAATAGTATAGAAGACAACAATCGCTGGACTCAATTTCAAGTGCAACAATTGTGGAAACAACATGCTTCTTATTTGAATGGTATGATTAGAATAGTAATGAAGGGGAAGGGGTTTTTAAAATGAAATCAATAAATTTGTTAATCACCAACTGCAGTCCAAAAACAGGGTGCAACATAGAAATCACTTGCAAAGAAGTGAAGTTGAAGGGTGAATTTTAAATTTCGAAGGTTTTCCTATATTGGAAGATCTCTGAATTATTATGGGCTCTACTAATAAGTAAATTAAAAGTCATGCTTTTAATACAATATCTATATTGACCACGTTAAAGGGTCACGTCGTTTTTGTCAAATATTTGCTGATTAGGATTAAGATTATGATGTTTGCCTCCAGTAGGTTAGTTAGCCTGTTTACTAGCTTATTAGTCCGGAGGTCGTGAGTTCGATTCCCACCAGAGGCTCTGGTAAAAGTGCAAAGATAGTGGCAAAGGTGTGTTTCTTTGGATATGATTAAGATTAAGAAAAATGTCTTCAGAAGGAATGGAAACAATGACTTCCCAGAAGCACTTCTTTGGAAGTAGTAAATATGCGATTAGCTTAGAAGTTCTAGAAGTTCAATATGATTGACTTCAGTTTATGAACTTCAGATTTGATAAGAATTACTTATACAGGAAATCCATTTACATAAATTGTCTTCATAAGATGTAATGAAAAATCACTTCTTTGGAAGTGATGAACATGCAGTTCACATGCAAAATACTTTAATATAATTGGGTTTAGTTTTAAAGTTGGAACTGTGTTAAGAACTGTTCCTCTTTATCAGTTGAATATTCTTTTATACATATTCTATTGTATGTAATGAAAAATCGCTTCTATGGAAGTGATTTTCATTTTATTGAAACTTCTAAAAGGTTCATAGAATTTTGCTGCAGTTTTTACTTCCATGCTGGGTATACTGTTCAGGTTCTTCAAAGCTTGCATTTCTTTGAAATCTACTAGAGTTGCCTTACATCTTTGGGTTACGATAGTGTCTTCGTGATTTACGATCCGGCTTTATTTTTGTCTAATAATTAATTTAGAGAATGGTTATAGGTACCTAGGTAATCCGATGAGATAAATCCCTAATATCTCGTCTGTTTACTATAACTTTTAGGCTAAGACGAGCCGGGGAATATAACCAAATGAGATAAATACTTTGTCTCTAGATCTTTTAGTGGTTAATTAGGGGAAATTATGACAACGGAAGTAATCCGATGAGATATATTTTACAGCTCTCAATCGGCGAACTGAGAATAGCTAGGAAGTAAAATACGACGATGTAAATACATCGGTTCTCTGTCGGCTAATGACTAATTATATAAAAATACGACTAGGTATGCAATCTGATAAAATAAATTCTTCAGTTCTCGTCGGTAATCTATGACTGCCTAAGACTAGCTAATGAATACAATCCGCTATAAATAGGCTTCTGCTCTTGGTGGACTATGTTAGGTATTGATAGGTTGACAATACAGCATTTCTTGGTTCTTAAGTTGACCCCTTTGTAAAAGAAGACAATAATAATATCTCCTCAGTTTACTATGACTTAAGACGAGTCAGGGAATATAATATAGCGTGATAAATACTTTGGTTCTCGATCTTATAGTGGTTAATTTGGGGGGAAATTATGACTACGAAAGTAATCCGATGAGATATATTTTTCAGCTCTCAATCGGCGAACTATGACTGAGACTAGCTAGGGAGTAAAATACGACGATGTAAATACTTCGGTTCTCAGTCGGCTAATGACATGTGCAATACGATGAAACAGATTCTTACGTCGGCTATCTATGACAGCCTAAGACTAGCCATGGAATACAATCCATCTATAAATAGGCTTCGGGTCTTGGTGGGCTAGTTTAGATATTGACAGATTGACAGTGCAGCATTTCTTGGTTCTAAAGTTGATCCCTTTATAAGAATACCTGTAACAGACAGAAGGAAAGGAGAGAGAATAAACGACACACATGTCATTGAAATAGAGACGCAGTAAGTAGTTCCAATTGAACATTAGATAGATCCGACAGATCATTGACCTAGGTCGAACACCTAGAGTTCGGTTTCGAACCATTTCTAGCACTGGACAGTTACAGAAAAGATGGACTACAGTTTCATTCCCATTTTGACAACTTCCGTGGAAATGATTATAAAGATGATCAATGCGTTGTGCTAAGAACTAAAAAGCGCTCAATCGGCTAATGATGAATGGTTAAGACTAGCTATTGTGTATAATCCTACGAGATAGGTCCTTCGGTTATAGGTCGGTTAACTACTTCTGATGAATGGTTAAGACCAGCTATTGAGTATAATCCGACAAGATAGATCCTTCAGTTATAGGTCGGTTAACTACTGGTAGTGACTATCGTAACTGCACAGTAGAAAATATTGCAGATTTCCGACAGTGACTTATACTTATTTTATTCACAGTTGACATCTGTCAAACTGCAATAATCTGACATTTATTACAAAATCGATAAAGATTAAAAATCCTTAATGATTTTTATTTCTGATTATAATTTCCTCAATTTTTCCAATAATATTACCTAGTAAGCGTTTATTTGAAACCTTTTAAAAAGAAATTGTTGACTTAACCGAACAATGTAACTAATACCGGGAAGTAAAACATGCTGAAAATAAAAAAATATAGAAAAAAAACCTTCACTACCCAACATACATAGATGTCAAAGTCAAAGACAAAACAGGCTTAAATTGATTTATTGGTAACAGAAATCAAGCAACAGCAATATGAGCAAAAACAAAAAACAATAAAAAAGAAATGTTTTCAGATGTCTTTTAGCCAAAATAATGGTTTAAACAAATGTTAAGACAATTTTTGAAACCAAGCAGACTTAGAGGGACAGACAAACGAAAAGTAGTTTATTACTTTTACAAGTAACAAACCCAAGATTATCAAGAAAACTAAAACAATCACCTTCACCATGACATTTTTTTGGTCTTATGAGGGGAATAATATTGTTGGTGGGTTTTTTTTTCAACCAATAAAACTGAAATAAATTTTTATTTTAACAAAATAAACCAATAAATGTCAACCCAACATTCACAGTAAAACCAAATTACTACAACAACAACAAGACAAAACACCCAAAAATTATGGTCTAAAAGAAATTTAGCAAACAACCGAAAGACAACAGACAGAAAGTCATACCAGTCATTCATTGATACAATAAAATTTAAAGGGTTTATAACAACCAAACAAACGAACAAACAGACAAATTCACTTCACATTTCTTCACACAAACACTGGCGTTTTGAAAACGACAACAACAACAAATAACAACTTTCGATTTTATTTCATGTTGAGCCAGTTTATTTAGTGTCAATAATTGTATGATCTTGTAGTTGTCATTAAATATAGTTTTTTTTTTAACATATTAAACGTCATTTTTGACATTTGTTACTTTTTAACAAAACTATACTTTTTTATCACTAAATGTTTATTTTTTTTTTACTTTTTTACTTTTAGCTTTTTTTTTTTGTTGATTTGTTTATCTTTTAAAAACTATCTTTTATTTTTAACATGAACTTCAACTTAACCTACCTAAATAAACGTCATTATTGTTATTGTTGTTGTGTGACTTACCTGTCTTTTTTTAAGCTGCCAATTGAGCAGCACACTGCTCCCAACTTAAGTAATTCGTCGTAATTCTTCTCCCTTTTAAATGCCAGTGTTTTATTTCCAAAATGATGTTTAAGAAGAAAATTTCCTCAATGTGAGCAGCATTTTTACTTTCATCAATGTTTAAATGAAACGTTTTCAAAAATAAAGTGAAATTTAACCCAGCAAACAATATGCCAGCAGGATCTACTTGTTAGAATTTATCTTCTTGTCCTCCTCAAGTTTCATTATTCCAAAACGGACGCATTAGATAGTCTCGTCCAAGCTTTCGTCAGGTTAACTTTCTTAACCTAACCTAACCTAACCTATGAAAAATTTTCTATAAAAAGAAAATTTCTGGAAATTTTTCTATAAAAAGAAAATTTGTGGAAAATTTTCTATAAAAAGAAAATTTGTGGAAAATTTTCTATAAAAAGAAAATTTATGGACAATTTTCTATAAAAAGAAAATTTATGGAAAATTTTCTATAAAAAGAAAATTTATGGAATATTTTCTATAAAAAGAAAAATTTATGGAAAATTTTCCATAAAAAGAAAATTTATGGAAAATTTTCTATAAAAAGAAAATTTATCGTAAATTTCCTATAAAAAGAAAATTTATGGAAAATTTCCTATAAAAAGAAAATTTATGGAAAATTTCCTATAAAAAGAAAATTTGTGGAAAATTTCCTATAAAAAGAAAATTTATGGAAAATTTCCTATAAAAAGAAAATTTATGGAAAATTTTCTATAAAAAGAAAATTTATGAAAATTTTTCTATAAAAAAACAAAAAAAAAAAATTGTGGAAAATTTTCTATAAAAAGAAAATTTGTTGTCAATTTTCTATAAAAATAAAATTTGTTGTCAATTTTCTATAAAAAGAAAATTTGTTGTCAATTTTCTATAAAAAGAAAATTTATCGTAAATTTCCTATGAAAAGAAAATTTATCGTAAATTTCCTATAAAAAGAAAATTTATCGTAAATTTCCTATAAAAAGAAAATTTATCGTAAATTTCCTATAAAAAGAAAATTTATCGTAAATTTCCTATAAAAAGAAAATTTATCGTAATTTTTTTATATAAAGAACATTTATCGTAAATTTTCTATAAAAAAGAAAATTTATCGTGAATTTTCTTCAAAAACAAAATTTATCGTGAATTTTCTTTAAAAACAAAATTTATCGTGAATTTTCTTTAAAAACAAAATTTATAAAAAATTTTCTATAAGAAGAGAATTTATCGTAAATTTTCTATAAGAAGAGAATTTATCGTAAATTTTCTATAAGAAGAGAATTTATCGTAAATTTTCTATAAGAAGAGAATTTATCGTAAATTTTCTATAAGAAGAGAATTTATCGTAAATTTTCTATAGAAAAAAAATTTATCGTAAATTTTCTATAGAAAAAAAATTTATCGTAAATTTTCTAT